CTATTAGAGAAGACCAGGACATAAGAGGAATTTGGATTAAAGACACTGAGTTTAAGACTTGCCTTTATGCAGACATATTGACATATTGATCACTCTTTCGCAGCCAGATTTGAGTTTACCAAAACTAATGTCCTCCTTGAAAACATTTGGTTATTACTCGGGTTATAAATTAAACATTCATAAAACAGTTATTTCATTTAACTATATCCCCTCACTACAAATACAGAACTTTTGCCATTTTAAATGGGAGAATAACACCATTAAATATTTAGGTATAAAAACCATCTACGCGACTAATTATCTGCCAATTACCAAAGAGATAAAGACAGACTTAAATAAATGGAGTTTACTAGCACTGGACTTACACAATCGAATATAGTTAAAACATCCTGCCATGACTGCTTTTTCTTTTCCTGTCAATACTAATAGAAATACCTGAAAAACAGTTGACAGAGTGGAAGAGAATGCTATCTGGGTTCATATGGAAAGGCCTTAAACCAAGAATCAGATATAAAACATTGCAACTGCCCATTGCAAGAAGGAGGATTATCTTTGCCAAACATAGTGAACTACTACAAATCTGCACCGCTCAGATATCTGCTTTATCTGTGTAACCCATATTATAATGCTAAATGGAAAAATCTAGAATTAAGCCAACTGGACATTCCCCTCCAGAGATTGCTTGGAGACAGAAATCTATACTTACTGCATAAACAAAAAACAAAACCAAAAAAAAGTGTTTGGACAAAAACACCCCTAAACATTTGGTTTGCAGAATGTCGTAAAAACAAACTGGAAAATCACATCAAAATATTACGATGGGTGGCACATGATAAAGAAAATCAAGACTTCTTCAAATACCTTCAAGTTAGAGCTCATTTTACCTGTGATATAAAAACAACACAGGAAGGCAGCTCTGATTTAAGTAACATTTTGATTGACACATACAAATCTAAATTAAACCGGAAATTGATTACTCGGATCTACTCCTGTTTACAATCATCCAATGGCTTTTCTACTCTTTACGTTAAATCCAACTGGGAAAAAGAAGCAAAAACAACCATTTCAGAAGATGATTGGCAAAACATTTCTAAAAAAATGTTCTGGTTCTGGTTATTGGAGGGAATTTTTGTGGAATAATATAATTCGATTTTTTACCACCCCAAAAATTAAACAGCTTCAGAAAGGTCAGTCAAGTTATGGATGGTGCTGGAGAGAGTGTGGAAACGCTCAGGCGAATCATTTCCATGTTTTCTGGGACTGCCCGATTATATGACCCTACTGGCGGGATGTAGTGAAGGAAATTAAATCAATAGTAGGCTTTGAGATTAATCATGATTTCTGCACAATTTATCTTGGTAATATCTCCCCCACAATTAATGTTACAGATAAATATTTGATTAAAATAATGTTAGTAGCCAGTAAAAAAGCTATTACAAGAAGATGGCTATCAAAAGAGTCCCCATCAAAAAAGGAGTGGATTGCAATTGTTAAAGAAATATATGACATGGAAAAACTGACTTTTTCCCTGAACATGTGCATGGACAAATTCACTACCTACTGGAGGAAATGGACAGCTCATCTTGAACAAATGGCCCCTCCTCACAACAGGATGTTACTTATGTAACTAACTGTGTTTATAAAAAAAAAAAAAATGGGTTGGCTTGGACATCTGGTGTAGAGCTGCTGCTCCTTCAGGTTGAAAGGTTCCAGTTGAGGTGGTTAGGATCTGGATGCCTCCTGGGCCATTGGAGGTTTTCCAGGCATGTTCAACTGCTAGGAGACCCCGAGGTCGACCCAGAACACACTGGAGAGATTATATATCTCATCTGGCTTGGCAACACCTTGGGATCCCCCAGGAGTAGCTGGAAAACGCTGCTAAGATACCCCTCTCGGGTGTCTTAACTCCATTGTTAAGCCTGCTGCCTGTTATTCAGAACCCAATAAGCAGCAGTAAATGGAAGGACTCCGAGACAGTGTAATCCAATGTGAAACACGTGATTTACAGACAGATCGAACAATCTCTACCGATTACCAGCAGCAGCTTTGAGGTCTAAATTGACAGAAATGTACCTTCTGAAATTTCTGCATATCCCACACATCATCATAGCCCGGGTAGTTTCCAGGGTAATCTGTCGTATGTACCTAAAAACAAGAAATAACGAATCAATTAGTAAGCAAAATAAGGTTGCCGCAAACATTCTGAGAAGGTTACTTTAGCGGTTACTCTAAATGCATGTATTCACTGGTATAATATCTGTCACACTCCGACTTAGCTTCTTTTTTTTTTTCCAAACCATAGATTAAAATGTACAGTTTTATACTGATTTAAAAACACTCTTGGTACTATGCAAGCATTAGCACTCGAATTGCTCAGATATGATTTTTTTGTTTGTTTGGATGTTTACATTATGTTTTTAAATGTGGACCATATCAGATTCTAGTGTGAATAGGTCACAGTCCTGAAGTAATCCACATGACAAATGTACATCTAAAGTGACATAAAAGTTGCTGTAGTTACTGTAGAAACAAGACCCATTCCCTCTGTAGATAAAAAGCAGCTCTTTCTAAAGTAACAAACACACAACAATTTCTATTTCCAGGTTATTATACACAAATGAAAACTTAACTATGAATATGAACTTTCCACTTGATGTAAAACCTCCTTCTAGTATCAAACTCTGCACAGACAGCATTCAAACAGCCCACTGTAGGAACTAAAAGATACACTGATTTCTGACTGTGGAGGGGAGCTTTAAGTTACAATATAAATATTTTGAATATAGGTGATATTAGAAATTACGTATTAGAATGTGGTGCTTTAAGTAGTATATTTCATAGTAATGTTCTGACATTATATATTGTACTGTGTACTAGTGTAGGCACACTATAGAAATTTCAATACAATGTTTGAAGCAATAATACTTTTTATATTATTCAGTGAGTGACTGGAAGAGAGCCTTCAGTTGGCCTGCCCAGCTCCTGCCCCGGGTGTATTAGAATGACGCTATAACTGCTTATATTTTCATATTCATTGAGTATTTATTCGTAAATATATAGATCTATATAAACCTGACAGTCCTGTTGTTAGGTTAGTTCATATCAAACAGTCCAACACCGGTACAGCGCGCAGCAGTATCAAACACACGAGGTGACAGTCACGTGCGGGTCGGTCCAGCAGCTCGAGGCACCCTGACCGTTGCAGCTAGCGGATGATGATGATGATGAAGAAGTTATAAAAACATTGTCATATACAGACTTACATTCTTCACATCAAATTCTCCCAGTATCACTCTATTCCGAATTTCTTCCACGTTCTTCATGGTCGCCGCCATTTTGTCACGTAGTTTGCTTTACTCCGCCCACACTTCCGATACGTCACAATTTACAGTTTAACGCAGCATCACAGTTACTGTGTTTTTACGTAACACTGTATAATCAGTGTATTTACCATGTTCCTTCTATTCATACTGCATTATCACAGTGTATTTGTGTTCATATTGAGTATGAAGTGCTTGCTCATGGTGGTACTGTTGGGTCTCTGTAAATGTTATAAGGAGTTCGGTCTAGACCTGCTCTATTTGAAAAGTGTCCTGAGATAACTTCTGTTATGAATTGGCGCTATACAAATAAAATTGAATTGAAATATGAATACAGCTTAAACATGTTTACCATTTTTTATACTGAATGCTGCATTATCACCAGTGTATACCTGTTTACTGCATTATAACAGTGTATTTACCAGTTTATATTGAATGCTGCATTATCACAGTGTATTTACCTGTTTATACTGAATGCTGCATTATCACAGTGTATTTACTGTGTTTATACTGAATGCTGCATTATCACAGTGTATTTACTGTGTTTATATTGAAGACAAATATTTTCTTTTTAACAATGCAGGCATCATTTATGCAGGCGTTTTTTCTATACTTTCCACTATTTCTTAGAACTCTTCAAGAGGTTTATTATCATATGTACAGTAAGAAACACAAGGTTTGTACGTACAATGGAAGTCTTGGTTAATGTTAAATGACATATTTATGAGAATAGAACAGCTGAAATTGTTTCTATTGCAGTTTGTGCAGGGTCATGTCGCATAATGCCAGTATGAATAGTAATCATCAAATTTCACCTTCACAATTCCAGTTATCTTGTGGGAATTTCGCATTTGAGAATCTTTGCAGCCTAACATCCACTGATACAAAATTACCACAGAGTTTCTGTAATTTTATTGCGGGCATCAAGATTTGGGCACCTTCCTTATAAAAACACAGTTTAAACAATATTTTAACAAGACATTCAGCTGTCAAACTCATAAAGTTTATATTTGGCATTCATTCTGAAAATGTACACAAAATGGGTCATAATCAGCATAATATTGTGTTGTCCACTGTAATGGTAATTTTGTTATTTTTACAGTCAGAGACAGAGACACTGTCAGATAAGAATATAAATATCAGTTTGATCTCTGTATGTCCTGTAAACATGTAGGTACACCAACAATGGTTTTATTTAGACAACTGCTACCCTATTAAGGGATATTGTTTCTCTTTTGATGGAGCTAAGCTAGCTTCCACCTTTGTGCTTACTGTAGACCTATCTATAAAGAGACGGAACTGATATCAGTCAGATTCATCTGACTCTGGGTAAGATGGCAAAATAATTCCTAAAAGCTCAAAAGAATTATTACAATGTCACTCTGTTAGCACGCTCAGTTTCCAACAGCCTTACACTGAACTTAATTTCACTTCACACAAGATGAAACATACAGAAAGGAAATAAGAATAATGGAGGTGAGAATTACAAACTATTACTGTCTTTTCACTAATTAGAAAAGTTGAGAATCATTTACAGTAGAACAATAAAGTCTCAATGTGCAGAGTTTTTCAGCCAGTTCTGCTCTCTTATTCTCCATTAAATTATCAGCTTGTGTTTCACAGTTGGAATATGATATTGTAGACGCTTAAAGGTAAAGTGTGTAGGATTTAGTGGCATCTAGCGGTGTAGTTGCAGATTGCAACTCCCTCGCTTCACTCTCCCCTTACAAATGCGAAGGAGAAATTACAGTGATGTAGCCAGTGTTTGATCCTTCTAGGCTACTGTAGAAACATGGCGGTTCAACGTGGCAGACTACATTTAAGGCAATCCAAGACGTCTGTAGATAAAAACAGCTCATTCTAAGGTGAAGAAAACAACAATTCATATTTTCAGGTGATAAAACGCTAATGAAAACATACCTTATTATATTCCATTTCTGCCAATAGAGCCTCCTAAATGTTACACACTGGATATTTAATGAACAACATGATACTAATGAATCCCACAGTGCTTTACTGTGTGGCTTTGGTCAGGATCTTTATTGTTTTTGCAGGAATGTGTTCAAAGCGTTCCAAAAACTTTACTCTTTTTATACCACCCAAATGTGTCTTGCATTACTTGTGTTTCTGATACTTTGCAGATACCAAACAACATATAAACTGATAGAAGCTGGCTGACACTGACAACAGGTATAGCAACCCGTTCTGGTAGTGGAGTTGATTCATGTCTTCATAAGTTTTATGTTTTTATTTGAAGCATGGAATAATACTATTATTTGGTGTACTATGTCATCTAATAGATTAAGCATAAATAGCACTGTAAATATTATATACAGCTCAACGCATCAAACTCAGATCAAACTGTCAAACTAGACAGTGCTGATCCAGATTATGTTACTGCATTGATTATTTCTCACCTAAATATGTTTCACAAACATATTTTAGTGTACTGTTGTACTGCTGAAATACGAGATTGTGTGTTTACCAGGTGAGCTGCTATTGTTTCCTGCTAAGGATGAGTTGAAACTGTACAGCCAATGAGAGCAGCTCAACTCACAGTATGTCACCTCCACTGGCTCTGACAAACTGTTATGGCGACGACCATAATGCTGAACTGGAGGCTTTAAAACGGTACTCCACAAACCAATGGGTAACATCA